AGATCCACCTGGCTCTGCCTCCCGAGTGCTGGGATTAAAGGCATGCACCTCCAACGCCCGGGAATCCAAACTCTTAACCACCTGCGCTGCTGTCACAAATGACCACGAACCCACTCAATTTATTCCCCGTCAGTTACTAAGACCAAGAGTCCAAAAATGACACTTAACTGGTCTGAAATCAAGGTTTGGGCACAATGGCATTGTCTCTGCTGCCTCTGAAGGAAAGTCCATTTGCCTGCCTTGTCCAGCTTCTAGCAGTCACCTGCATTCCTTGACTTTTGGCCTCTCTGTCCATCCCCAAATAACAACACAACACTGTCAAATCTCTCTCTGACTCAGACTTTCCAGCGTTCCTCTCAGAAGTCCCCTCATGATTACAGTGTGCTCACTGGATGACTTAGAAGATGCCCATCTCAAAACATGTAATGGAGTCTGCAAGGTCCTTTTTGCCTTTCACAATTAGGACTTGAGTATGTTAACAGAGGACAGTACTCTGTCTACCATGCCAGCACATGCCCAGCCTCTCCCTTAGGTGGACATTACATTTGGACACACACACAGAGGTAGACACACACTCAGCCCCGCGGTATGGGAATGTATTTTTTTTAATAATTGCTTTTGAGTTTGTGGTTTGGCTTCTTTTCTAATGTGGTAGGTGTGGCTCAGCTGTTGGAAATACCAATCTTTAAAATTTGTAACTGCTTGCATTTATGAGAAACTCGACATTGAACAATGTGCTTTCTGTAGCCCCTCATAAACCATACTCGTGTTAGCAAAAGTAAGCACAGGCCACAAGGTCTGAAAGAGCAGAGGTGAGGAAGATCTAGGGGCCAGCACCCTGCAGCTTACCAGAGAAATAGAATCTGATTTCAGACTCTAATCCCTCAGGCCTTATCTTCTTTTCTTTAAAACTGTAAAGACATTAGAGCTTAGATTCTAATTCTGTGATGATTTTATAAGAGGAAGAGCAACATTAAAATGCTGGGTTTCTCCATAGAGCTAGCATTTTATTAACAAAGTTGCACTCTGTGTTTTGGTTTAACTTCACTGTAGATTCTCTGAGAGGTTCTGTTGGACAACCCTAACAGGACAAAACTTGAGAAACAACTTGACAGAGAGAGCACTTTTGGCCTTGGAGTTCATATAATTAATACATTGTTTTGACCCATTTCAAGGCCGCAGGGCAAAAGTCATTTTCCTGAAGACAAAGGCCTGCCCAAACCAGCCCTGCTGGGGGAGTTGATCCAAGTCCAACAGATCAGTGTCTGTGGCTTCAGATAGGAAGCAGGCTGCAGGAAGCCATCATTGAGAAGGTTCCAGGCTGCTGGGCTCAGGGGGCACCTTCTCCCTACAGCTTATCCCACGTGCACCCAAAGTTGTGGGCACCAGGAAATAAGCCCATTTTATAATACCGTGCTTGTTAGTTTAAATAGCCATGGTCTGTGCTCCATCAGATACATTCTTTGCCTTTGGGTTGGATCCAAACTTGAATGGAAACCAAAGGTGTTAGTTATGTGGCTTCCATAACACTCTCAATAACTGCAAAGAAGTAGCAGAGCTATACTGTTATCTCAATGGTCCAATTGACCTCTTCATCCAAGTACTCCTTGATGTCACTTGGCTGGCATGCAGGCATTTGAGTATTATAGTCTTGAGCTTCAAGGAGAAGACTTTAATTTTTTTCCTAATATCAAGTTCTTTGACAATTTGGAAATTTTCTGGGGAGCTTTCAAAAATTGCTTTTCAAAGCAACAGAATCCTTAATACTGCAAAGTCAACCAATTAGATTAAAAGACAGTTTCACATAGGCGGAAATCTTTAAGCTTCATTACTATATTAATTAGATCTAGAATATGTCTGATAAGATGAATTTGAGTGTGTCAATGAGCACAAACAATATTTTATCTCTAGTTGAAGTACTAGAGTGTGGTAAAAAGTCAAAGACAACCTATGATGTGCTGCCCACAGTTATATAAGAAGAAAATGTTAAATGTAAGCTAAACGCTAAGGAAAGTAAATACATGTCTTCGTATACAAGCTCAGGATGGGTCTCCATGGAAATGGAGCTCTGGATTAAGACCTCTGGATTTAGAGAGGCTGCCTAAGATCTGCCATGAAAAAAACCAACATTTTGACTTTCCTTCACACCATCTACTGGTCAGACCTTCTCATTCTAGTCCTTCATATTTGTCAAACTCACCTTACATCATTCCTCACTGCTAAACCACATTTATCCATGGCAATGCATTCAGATTTGCACAAAAGCATTGTGTGTGACCCCCAAACCCAACTCTGCCGATGCCAACTGGAAACATTAACTGGAAAACTTCAAACCATTTACTCTCATTAAGAAACCCAGCATTGAACAATATACTTTTTGGAGCCCTGCATGAACCACCCTGACCCATTATCATCATAAGTGAGGCCTTGGGAATCTATTTATCCATTAAGCATCCAATTGTACATGTTTTGTCACTATGTACGTATGCCTGTATGTATGTTTGAAAATGTGATAGCACTTCACCAGAAAATGGACCTTAAGTAAAAGGAAAAGAAATTCCATGACTTATTTATCTTTAGATCTCAGTCTGAGCCATATAGAAGAATGTCAACAAGTATCTGTGCAATGAATACCCTGTGTACCATTCAAATGATAGTCTCAATTTTTGTGAAGGAAGCACATATTGCAAAGTACAAAACCTACATGAGAAACAACAGCCCATTCTTGATGCATTTGACTTTACAACTCAGAACATCTATTTCCTTATTATTAGAAAATAGAAAGACTTTTTTAAAATCCTGCCCAACTCATAGAAAAGGAACAGTTACTTCATTCCTTACTTACAGAAGTCACAGTGGTCATGTGTGCTGGTACTGTCAATAGATAGACATCCAACATTTGGGATCTGTTCAACAATGGGTCTTCATAGCCATCTCCTGTTATGGTGTTTCCATGCTGTACAGAGCATATTTTCTCAGTGACTCATGTTAACCTTTGTTCCTATCTTATTACTCAGTAGCTCAGAAATTGTTTTTCCCTAAAACAGATGAGTTGTTTTTCAAACATAAAATAAAATCTGTTTTTGAGGATGTATAGATAGGTCAGATGTTTTTCAGTAGTAGTTGCTTTAAATAAAGGTTGCAATGTGTGGGTTAAGATTTCAATAGTAGTAAAACACAATTGTAATGTTGCAATACATTTTTTAAAGCTTCAGATGGAATTCCATGAGTAAGTTATTAATTTTAAAGTTAAATTTAAAGGTATGAGAAATCAGAATGTACTGCATGTATGATGAAGCAGTATTTATTTAAATTTCTCTCTCTCTCTCTCTCTCTCTCTCTCTCTCTCTCTCTCTCTGTCTCTCTGCATTTGCATTTTACTGAGATGAGTATAAAATATATTTTTACTATGGATAATGATCAAAATATTTTATAAAGCAATCATGACCACTATATTGTATTTGTAACTTGGAAAAAAACCAACTATTGCTTTGTAGAGAACACAGAATATAGGACACTTAAGCAGGATTTTAACATCTTCTCTGGTACCAGTCTAATCCACATAGACAGGGCTTCATATTTCTGTTGGACATTTGTTTTTGGTTTTTCTTTTTCTTTTCTTTTCTTTTTTTTTGTATTTTGAGACAGGTTTCTCTGTGTAGCTTTTGAGCCAGCCTATCCTGGCACTTGCTCTGGAGACCAGGCTGGCCTGGAACTCACGGAGATCCACCTGGCTCTGCCTCCCGAGTGCTAAGGCGTGCACCACCAACGCCCGGCTCTGTTAGACATTTTTGTCTTATTTTTTATGAGCCAAATGTGGAGACTGAATTATTTGATTCAAATAGTCAAAAGTCCTTCTCAGGACTAAGGAGATAGTTCAGCTGGTAAAGACACATGGAACTTGAACCTAATAACCTGAGTTCAATCCCTGGAACCCATATGGTAGAAAGTGAGAACCAGCTCCCAAAAGTTGTCCACTGACTTCCCTATGACATAAGTCTCACCTCCCAATACACACAAGGTAACACTTAATAATAAGTAATTTTAAAATTATTTTAAAATAAATTGTCATAAATAAAAGTAAAAGAAATGGCAATTAAATTGTAAAGAATTTTTATCACCAAAGACATGCTGTTTTAGTGTTTGTGCTTCATGACATATTTTTAGCTAACTAGACTTTGATATGGTCATCCTAGCCCTATACAGAATATATCTAAAATATGAACTGGTAATTTCTATTATCACAGAGATGATATAGCAATTAAATGATATAATGTGTGAAGTGTCAGCTTAATGTTTGGAGCACTAAAAGTAGCTACATACTGAAACCAGACTTTCATGTCCTAAGTTTTCCTTTCACGAGTACTTAATAAGATGGCCAATAACAAAGGAACATAAACTTATTTTGTTCAGCAAATGTAATCAAACAAGCTAAAATATGCTACCACAAAATATTATTCTAATGTTGAATTTAATGTCTCAGTTAGGGTTCCTATTGCTATGATAAAACACCATGACCAAAAGTAATTTGGTGGAGAGTTTATTTCAGCACATTCCTGTCACAGTCTATCAAGAAGAGAAGTCAGGGCAGTAACTCAAGACAGGAACTGAAGCAGAGGCCATAAAGGCTTCTTCTCCTTGCTATTCAGCCTGTTCTTACAACTCCCAGGACCATTAGCCCAAGAGTGGCACCACCCCCAGAGAATTGGGCCCTCCCACATCAATTACCAATCAAGAAAATGCACTATAGGCCAATCAGATAGGGGGCATTTCCTCAGTTGATGTTCACTTGCGTCAAGTTTACATCACAGCAGTCACAACTATATTTTATTTGTATTGTACTTATTTATATTATACATGGTTATATGCAAATATTTATATTAAACAGATAATATTTTTATTCAGTTCACTTATTTGTTGTGACAAGATCTTATCATGTAGCCCTGCCTGGCCTAGAACTTGCTATGTAGACCAGGATAGCATCACACATGTGAAGATGTTCTTGGTTTGCCTTCTTAATACTAGGATAGCAGGTATGTGACACCTTACCCAGCAAATTTTGCCATTAGAGAAAGATACATCTGAAATATAAAACATTGTGCTTGAGTTTATTATGAATATTAAAATTACAATTTAAATATGTTGCACTTAGGCTGATTAGAGACTGGGACACAAATTATTGTAACATGTCACATAATGTGTTTGTCAATGAATGACCCCATGTTCAAAAGTGTGTATCATAGAGCCTAAAGATGAGCAGTAAATTACATGATGGGTATTCTATGATATCCACATGATGATTAAATTGTCTGGGAATTTATTTCTCAGAATGTATCTGAGGCATTAAATGGACATAACTATAATACTGTACCTCAGTCTTTATTCTGAATTACCTTTCTAAGTATTCATAAATATAACCTGAATTTTTAAGAAGAACTAAGTAAAAATTAGTTATATATGCATTCAATATTAAGAATTTCTAGCTGGGAGGTGGTGCTGCACTCCTTTAATCCCAGCACTTGAGAGGCAGAGGCAGGCAGATCTCTATGAGTTCAAGGCCAGCCTGATCCACAAAGCAAGTTCCAGGACAGCCAGGGATGTTACCCAGAAAAACGCTGTCTCAAGAAAAACAAAACAAAACAAAAAAAATGACAAAACAAAAGAGAATTTCTACATGGGATTAAACAACACTCTTATGGACTCATCCATACAATTTGCCTGAGTGGAAGTAACAACCAGTCAGCAAATAACAATTTGCTTTGTTATTAAATTTTACTCATTCCCTGACTTAAAATCTCATATTGTGGCCTGTTCATTACATCTAATTACTGCTGTAAATGATGTATTTCGTGTCCTTAATCAGCCTCTCCTTTTACAATCCTAATATAGATTCTCCCACTGATAATCATTTGTATAAAGCACCTGTCCCCTTTCTGTGAAGACAGGTGAAAGTGGTTTATGACATGAAATGTGTTGAAAGTTCATGTGTGGATAAAAGATGAGCAACAGAGAAAGAAAGATCTGGAGTCCTCCCACAGTCTGGCAGCTGCATGCTAGGCCACTGTGCCCAGCATCATGCTAGACCACTGTGTCCAGAACCACACTATGCCCTGTGTCAACAAGAAGTCGGAGGTCATGGTAAGAATCTGTGTCAAATAGGATGTTCAGCTTTAGCTTCCAAGCTGTTAACGCCTTCCATAAATTCTGGAGGCTAAGCTCTGCCTATGGAACATATATGGTGGTAGTCATCAGATTCTAAGGACAACCTCATTGAGTCAGTCACCTGTGTTCCGACCATTCTGTCCCATGTTGCCTGTCATCTTAGAACAGAAGAGGAATAAGCACACAGGCTATTCTCACAGTGAGTAGGAAGCTTACCCTCTCCTTGAACTTGAAGAGCATCTCTTGCACCACTCCTTGACAAGCAGCAGGCTGTGGAAACAGAGCAGTGTTTTTCCAGAGATAAACAAGCCTAATGGATATTCCATGATGGAAAGCTTCCAGGTTAGATTCTGCCAGCTCCCATCCCAAAGAACTTACAGAAAGGTTGTCTGGCTTTTCCTTACTTCACCCCAAGGCATCATATTACTTAAGAAGCAATAAATGTAACTCTTCCTTGTTTTCCTGTGCTCTCTAAGCTCCTTCATGGGAATCTATGAGATAGAGGTCAGCTCCTGCCACAGCCTCAGGTCCCAAGCAGAGCTCTTTGGGTCATATGCTAAGATTCAGTCAGGAACACTGACCCATCTTGCTAAACTCTGGGGGAGATGGATAAATTTGATAAGCCCCCTTCTCTTTTCATAGTATTTGAGAATAGAAGTAATTGTAGGCAAGAATCATGACTCCTCTGTCAAAATCAGTGATGGTGTACTTGGGTCCATGGTGTACTTGAATAAGCATACAGCAAGTTGAAATGAATTTGTTCTCCCAGAATGAGGAACATACACAAATCACCACACTTTACATAGCCGGGAGTTAATGGGAGACCTTCAGTGATTATGCTTAATGAAAATATCAAACCAAAACAAACCAAAACAAAAAACCTTAATTCCAATCAGCTAAATAAACCAGGCCTCTGATAAGAAAACTGAAATTCTAAGTGTCTCCAAACCATGTCATGAATAGACAATAAAGATAAATATAATTGTGATAAATCTTCCATAAGAGTCATAAACTCTGTGATATGTACATTGTATAGCTTCAAGTGAAACTGACCTTAAAGTAGAAGGAAGAGCTCAAGTTGAACAAATTTCTAATCAGTTTTATTTGTGTGGCCATTTCATGAGCCTTCATTGGGGGCTCGCAAAAATAGTTGATGGAGAAGTGAATGACTTGATTGGCAAGAACTGGCATGGGTCAGCATGTAACTGCATGTGCCAAGTGCTTATTTTTGCAGGATGAATAAACTATAAGCAAGTTTGTTTTCTCCAACTTTTTGCAAGCCATAAACAATTAGAATGCAAGTTTTAACACGATGTCTGCATTTAGCCTCTGGGGAACATTTTGCCTTGATTGGTTTTGTTTGCTTTTATATCTTCCTCAGAATCTTACCAGGAAATGTTATGATTTGCATGCATTTCAATTACTTCAGTTGGAGGACTAAGTACAACAACATATTTCCAAACACCATGCCCAATGCTCTAGGGCTTGACTTTCTAGCTTTTGAAAGGCTACATAGCCCTGAAAAAAATGGATATGGCACAAACAATGGAGCCATGATCCATGTCCCAGGGAGAACAGACTTAGCCATGATCCGTGTCCCAGGGACAGGCTTAATGTCTCAGGCAATGATACTGGCCTTCATTCCATTAGGTTGTGGAGTGCATTACTCTGTGGTGATTACTTTTGTACACTAGGTGTGTGTGGTTCAATGTATTCTTTCTATATGTGTGTGAGGTGTATTTCTGGATCACATTAGCATCTGAATTGGTGGATAGATATAATCTAATGC